TTGGTTCCAGTGTTGGGTGGCCTACCCTCACTAAAACCAACTACGTCGAGTGGGCCGGGATCATGAAGGTCAGGCTCCAGGTGCGGTGCATGTGGGAGGCAGTCCAGGACAGCAACGTCGACCACCTAGAGGATCGACGGGCGCTGGACGCCCTCATCGCCGCAGTCCCGCCCGAGATGCAGTTCTCACTTTCCAACAAGCGGACTGCCAAGGAGGCTTGGGACGCCATCGCCGCAGCACGCATCGGCAGCGACCGTGCTCGCAAGTCCACCCTGCAGGCACTTCGTAAGGAGTGGGAGAACCTGGGCTTCAAGCCAGGTGAGGACGTTGATGACTTTGCTCTCCGTCTCAACACTCTGCTGCAGAAGATGGTGAAGTTTGGCGATGCCACCTACACCGAGGAGAGAGCTGTCGAGAAGCTTTTTCGGTGCATTCCCGAGAAGTACAAGCAGATGGCTCGCTCGATCGAGTCGTTGCTGGACCTCTCCACGATGACGATCGAGGAGGCGATAGGTCGACTCAAGGTCGTCGACACCGACGAGCCACAGCCCCCCTCGGGGCCCGTCACCACCGGCGGGAAGCTGCTCCTAACTCGGGAGCAGTGGGATCCCAGCCTTGGTGACAAGAAGAAGGGGGAGCCTTCCTCCTCGACGGGCGGCCGCAAGCGTGGCAAGCAGCGTAAGGCGCGAAGAGGCCCCCCGGGCAGGGCACAAGGACGTGCCGAAGGTGACGCCCGCGGAGGCGCCAAGGACGGCGCCGCTGGCAAGCCCAGGCCGGCACAAGACAACAGTTGCCACAACTGTGGCCGGTTTGGCCATTGGGCCAATGAGTGTCGGCAACCACGACAAGGCCAGGCTCACGTCGCACAGGCGAAGGAGGAGGAGACGGCTCTGTTCATGGCGCATGCAAGCATTGAGCTACCCTCGGCGACTCCAGTCGCAAAGGCTTTCATCCACCTCGATGAGCCAAAAGCACATGCTCTTCTCGGCGATGGCTCCGGTAAGGACAAGGCTACGGGGTGGTGCCTCGACACCGGCGCCACCCACCACATGACCGGTCGAAGGGAATTCTTCGCCGAGCTCGACTCCGATGCGCGAGGCTCCATCAAGTTCGGGGATGCCTCCGCTGTGGAGATAAAGGGCGTCGGCTCCGTCATCTTCACCACCAAGATGGGAGAGCACCGGCTGCTCACTGGTGTCTACTACATCCCCGCGCTAAGGAATTCCATCATCATCTTGGGACAGCTGGATGAGAACGACTCACGCGTGCTGATTGAGCATGGGGTCCTACGCATCTGGGATCGCCAGCGTCGCCTTCTCGCCAAGGTGCCCAGAGGTGAAAATCGACTCTACGTCCTTGATGTGCAGGTGGCACAACCGGTCTGTCTCGCTGTCCGTCGAGACGACGAGGCGTGGCAGTGGCATGAGCGCTTTGGGCACCTTCACTTTGAGGCCCTGAAGCGTCTAAGTGCCAAGGAGATGGTGCGAGGCCTGCCATGCCTCGACCATGTGGAGCAGTTCTGCGACATCTGCGTACTGACAAAGCAGAGACGACTCCCCTTTCCCCAACAAGCGAGTTTTCGGGCTAAGGAGAAGCTGGAGCTCGTGCACGGAGACCTGTGCGGCCCGGTGACGCCAGCCACACCAGGAGGTCGACGCTACTTCCTGCTGCTCGTCGACGATCTCTCCCGCTACATGTGGGTGATGATCCTCGGCAGTAAGGGAGAAGCGGCGGACGCCATCAGGCGCGCGCAGGTTGGTGTGGAGGCGGAGACCGGCCGCAAATTGCGCGTGTTGCGCACTGACAACGGCGGCGAGTTCACGGCGGCTGAATTCGCGTCGTACTGCGCCGATGAGGGCATCCAGCGCCACTACTCCGCGCCGTACAGCCCACAGCAAAACGGCGTCGTCGAGCGGCGCAACCAGACGGTTGTGGGGATGGCTCGGGCTCTCCTCAAGCAGAGAGGGATGCCGGCTGTCTTCTGGGGAGAGGCGGTGCTAACGGCCGTCTACATCCTCAACCGCTCTCCTACTAAGGCACTCGACGACAGAACTCCGTACGAGGCCTGGCATGGGCGGAAGCCGGCGGTCTCTCATTTGCGGGTCTTTGGCTGCCTTGCGTTCGCCAAGGAGCTCGGCCACATCGGCAAGCTCGACGACAGGAGCACTCCGGGAGTCTTCATCGGCTACGCGGAGGGCTCAAAGGCCTACCGCATCCTCGACCCAAAGACACAACGTGTGCGCACAGCGCGAGACGTCGTGTTCAACGAAGGGCGAGGGTGGCAATGGGACAAGGCGGTGGACGACGGCTCGACGCCGACGTATGACGACTTCATTGTCGAGTACGCTCACTTCAAGGAAGCTGGGGAGCAAGCAGCTCCTCTTCATCGGCACGTCTACCCCGGCCCCCAAAACTACATCGACTCCGGCGCCTGCTACACCGACGACACCACAACCGGCGATGCCGCATACTCCAGCCCCGGCGGTCGCCACTCCGGGCTCGTCTTCATCAGCACCAGCTCACGCAGAGCACAACCCGATGAAGTTCGCTTCCCCGCTCACTCACGACGAGGAGCGGGTCAACGCATGGTATGGAGGCGAACCGCTGCGGTACCGTACGATGGATAATGTGCTCGGCGACCAGCCGGTGCCAGGACTGGTGCCACGTGACCTGGAGGCACAGCTACAGCTCGTGTGTGAAGACGGGGAACCACGGTCCTTTGCAGAGGCCGAGAGAGACGCGGCATGGCGCGCCGCGATGAAGTTGGAGATGGATGCGGTCGAGCAAAACCGCACATGGGAGCTTGCTGATCTCCCTCGAGGTCACTGCGCAATCACCCTTAAGTGGGTGTTCAAGCTGAAGAGGGATGGAGCCGGCGCCATCATCAAGCACAAGGCTCGTTTGGTGGCCCGAGGCTTCTTGCAGCAGGAAGGAGTCGACTTCAACGACGCTTTCGCTCCCGTGGCACGGATGGAGTCCGTGCGACTTCTCCTTGCGCTGGCTGCCCAGGAGGGCTGGTGTGTCCACCACATGGACGTTAAGTCGGCATTCCTCAATGGCGACTTGAAGGAGGAAGTCTACGTGCATCAGCCACCGGGGTTTACGATTCCCGGCCAGGAGGGCAAGGTGCTCCGCCTGCGCAAGGCTCTCTATGGCCTGCGGCAGGCACCCATGGCGTGGAACGCCAAGCTGGACTCCACGCTGAAGAAGATGGGTTTCGAGCAGAGCCCGCATGAGGCTGCCGTCTACCGACGGGGGAGTGGAGGAAATGCCCTGCTGGTGGGCGTCTACGTTGACGACCTGGTGATCACCGGCACCAAAGATGCAGAGGTGGCGGCGTTCAAGGAAGACATGAAGGCCACGTTCCAGATGAGTGACCTGGGGCTCCTCACCGACTGCCATCCAGCTCTCACTCCGATGGAGGGGAGGCTGAAACTAAGTCGCGACAGCACGACGGAGGAAGTGGATGCTACGCAGTACCGACGCCTTGTGGGGAGCCTTCGCTACCTCACTCACACATGGCCGGACTTGGCATTCTCCGTCGGCTATGTCAGTCGGTTCATGGAGCGACCAACGTCGGAACACCAGCAGGCAGTGAAGAGGATCGTCCGCTACATAGCAGGGACCCTCGACCACGGCCTCCATTACCCTAGGTGCCCTGGGGCGGCACACTTCGTCGGGTACAGCGACAGCGACCACGCCGGCGACATCGACACCAGCAAGAGCACGAGCGGGATCCTCCTCTTCCTCGGCAAGTGTCTCGTGAGCTGGCAATCAGTCAAGCAGCAGGTGGAGGCCCTGTCCAGCTGTGAGGCTGAGTACATAGCGGCCTCCACCGCCTGTACTCAGGCGCTCTGGCTTGCTCGACTGCTTGGTGATCTTCTCGTTCAAGACACCAGAACGGTGCAGCTCCTGGTGGACAGCAAGTCCGCCCTGGCCCTGGCAAAGAACCCCGTGTTCCACGAACGGAGCAAGCACATCCGACTGAGGTATCACTTCATCCGCAGCTGTGTGGAAGAAGGGAGCATCGAGGCGAGCTACATCAACACCAAGGATCAGCTCGCAGACCTGCTCAACAAGCCCCTTGGGAGGGTCAAGTTCCTCGAACTTTGCTCCAGGATTGGGATGATTCAACTCTCCCACAAGACGACGTACAAGACTTAGGGGGAGAATGATGGATAAGTCTGTGTACTAGGGTCCTTGTGGGGCTGCAGCACATGGTCCTTGTGGCAGTTAGGAGGATAAAGTCCTGTACCATCAAGGACTGGCTGTTAGGATAGAGTTCTGTTCTTGACCATCAAGGACTGTCAGTTAGCATCTTAGACTAGCATCTTAGACTAGCATCTTAGACTAGCATCTTAGACTAGCATCTTAGACTGGCATCTTGGCAGCATCTTAGCATATGCCTTGGCTGGCTAGCAGCCTATAAATATGTATCCCCAACCCCTCGGGTTGGTATGGCATTGTGTGAGAAATAAACCAACGAAAATTGTCCCAACTCTCCTAGTGTCATCCACAACTATCAATGCTCAGGCTGAAAGGTCTAACACCCCTATCTTACCCGTGCCAACTCCACCTCGACTCGACGGGTTTGAGCGTTGTGGTGCAGGTGTCTGCGCTGTGCAGGGACCATATGCATGCAATCCTAGCGGACGAGCTGGCCCGCGCGGCGGCAGCCTACCGAAAGGAGAACCAGCAGGACGAAGAGGCGGAGCATCGCGCCTGGAAGGCCGCGCTGGCACGAAGCTTCATGCGGACGGACAAGCTGGGGGCGTCGGGGGTGCCCCGGGGCACCATAGGTGGGTCCACGGCCGTGGTGGCGCTCTTGGTCCTGGGCCGCATCATCGTGGCCAACTGCGGCGACTCCGGCGCCGTGCTCTGCCGCGCCGGCCGTGCTGTCCCGCTCTCCCAGGACCATAGGGTGAGATTAAATGTGTCAAGTGTATGTAGGAGTATTTCTCTGCTTTGGTCGGCCGGACAAATTTTAGCTTCATACGTGGATGCAGCTGGACCGACCGGAGGAGATGGCGCGTGTCACGGCGGCGGGCGGCGTGGTGTTCAACTACGGCGGGGTGCTGCGCGTGCAGGGGATCCTTGCCAAGACGCGCGCGCTAGGTACATTCTCACACGATTGCCCTTCCCATCCATACAACCGGCTGGCATGCATGTTGTGTTACTACTTACTACTTACTAGCAAACAAATCACCTTCCTGAATTTGTTTGCTACTGGTCAGTGTCTCTGTTGATTGTCATTAGCCTATATGTTGCCTTTTGCCATTACTTCGACCAAAGCTGCTGGCGTGTTGTTTTGTTTTTAAGGACCACGTTTTGTTGTTCTCATTAGCATTGCCTATATATCGAAGAGAGAGGGCAATTTTTCTTTCAGAAATGATATGTAGCGAACGTCAGATTTCTGGCTCCTCCCAGAGAACGACTATAGGGTCATCAGATCCAGGGCACCAATCTTGATGCACGCTAAGTAGCCACGTCAGAAAAAACCGTTCGCTCTTGAGTTGTCTATCTGGGAACGCTCGTAGATGAAATGGACGTGCCCAGCCGATGTCCACTGATCTCTATTCCTCATCCATTCACAACCATGGGGAAGAGCTCCGGCTGGAGGAGGGCGCGACCACGATACTCCTCACCGGCGACCCAGTCTGGGATGCTCTCGTGAATAGGTGGTAGGCGTGATCCCCTCCAGCTTCAGGCTTGGGCCCGTCTTCATCATCCCCATAGGTCAGGCCACTGCTCATCGTGTTTGGTTGCATGAATTTCTCATTGGCATCACTCCTGAAACACCAGTGTGCAATTAGTTCGTGTCAAAGAGATCTTGTAGTATAGTGTTGTGTGCCCTTTGATGTGCTAGAGGGATGCAGCTATATTGATGTTATTCTTCATATACTGTTTGTTAGCTACAGTAATTTGATCATGTGTATGTGTTGTGGAAGATGATTCCCCTAGGATTGTTGTGTTGTTTGCACACGTGTGATAAATGTTGCCATGGCAAGTTATAGATAAATCTGCCCCTTAAGAAATTTTGCAAATTTACTACATCACGACAAAAAATAGAGAAATTTGTAAAAGTGAAATGGAAAATTTATGAACTATAACATGGAAAATTTAGAAGAGAAAAAATTAGGACTAATCATATGGAAATTAAGAAAAAGTTTATCTCCTACATCATGGCAAAAATTACAGGTTGCAATAGTTACAAGGGAAAATTATCAAAAAGAATTTTATAGGACAAGGTATTTTTTATGTAAAAATTATTGAACTAATTGCATGGCAATTTTAGGGGAGAATTGTGATCTCTAGAACATGATAAATTTTTAAACAACTTTGAAAACGTCCAGTGTTACAACATCATGGCAAAAAAAATTAATATGAATATTATGGGGGCATACTTTTTTTATTGAAGACGTGGCAAAAATACTAAATTGGCCAACTTTTTTCAAAGTCCAAATCTCATAGTTTTACCATGTGCCAAATGCATTTGCTACATATGCCATCTTTGTTAAAGATCAAATCTCCTAAATTTGCCATCTGCCAACTTATAAATTTCAAAAACATGCTGTGTTTTTACAATCCCTAACTTTTGCCATGTGCCCATCGAAATTTCCTAAAATTGCCATCTTTTTATGGAAAAAATCCCTAGCTTTGACATGCACCCTTTTACAATTTGCCAAAAGTAGCCCTGTGTTTTCTTAGAGAACAAAATTCCTAAAAATTGTCATGTGAAATTTTTATTATAGGTAGCATGGCATTTTTAGTATTGAGACCATTGAAAATTTATCAATTGTACCAAGGTAATTTTATTTTAGGTAGCATGGCCATTTTTATTATTCGTACCATGACATTTTTTAGTTAGAAAATGGCAAATTAATTAATTAGAGCATAGTAGTTTATTCAAGATAGCATCATAATTTTATTATTCTAGAACAATGCCAATTTTATTCGTTATACCATGGAAAGTTGGATAATTTCACCATGCTAGTTTTATTTTAGGTAGCACGGAATTTTTAAGGTATTTTGGAAAAGTTTCTACTTTGTCACATGGCTGTTTTAGAAAAATAAAATCCATTTCCTAACCAAGATTACATTTTTTATGTATGGCAAACTTCTTTTTTGGACCATGCAATGTTTTCTTTTACCCATCATGGCAATTTTAATTTCACACTGCACGACATATTTATTTTGAACATAACCATTTGAAATTCCTATTTTTAAAATTATTTTGGACCATGGGAAGAAATTTCACACCATGGCAATTTTATTCAGCAAAGCATGGTAAAAACATTGAATGGCATGGAAAAATATTATCGAACATAAAATGGCAAACTTGTTTTGAACATTCCATGTCAAAAAATATATATATTGAAACCATGACAATATTTGTTAGTTTTTCACATTTTTCCTTGTCAAAATCTTGTTTGCCATTATAATTTTTATGAAATAGATTTTTTTTGGTTAAATCAAGGTATGTGATGACAACAAACAATTTTCAAAAGTTAACATGCTTTTCTGAGAAACAATTTCTCCTTTTAATTTGCTAGGTGACCAGTACATTTTCTAATTTTCCATCATTTATGAGTGGATGCTATTCTATAGAGTACAGGATGATTTTTTTAATATATCTTAGAGCATGGCAAATGTAAATTTATGATTTACTATGCCTTTTATGTATTAGGATTTTTGTACTTTTTGTTTATGGCAAACTTTTCCGAAAAATGAGTCAATTGGGCCTATCTTTTTTTCGTGCATTCTCCATGGGCCAACCGGCAGAGACCTCCTTATTAGAGAACTATCAGGAGAAAGGGTTTCGTTCACTGCAGGTGTCATGCCCTAGCGAACACATCGTTAGCTGGAGGCAACCCCCAGATGACGATCACCACCTATCGGACTCCTTTTCCATTTTCCATGGGTGTGTTGCCTTATTTGTAAATTTAAATAAAAGGCTACTCTATACAATACTATCATTTGTCACATGATTATTTTTTTAAGTCTTGTTTGCTTCATGCCCACATTTTTTTTGTTCAAAATATAGACTCCGATATTTAGATAAGAAAAAGGCGTTTTATAGGACGGAGGTTGCAAGACAGAAAAACACCGATGTTGTTGATGAGAACTCCACCAAGGGAAGAGCATCGTTGCAACAAAGAAGTATCTGCGCCACCACGAGGACACCACCAAGGGAATCCTTCCTGAGTATTTTTAAGCCACTTGAGCGACACAATAATGTTAGCAGAGTACAAGGAAATGAATGTACAAGGAAAAAATAGCCTTCTTACATAAAGACAAAAATAACATCCAGACAAATGTAATCAAAAAGGAAGATTTAATTTTTGCGTCCATGTGTGACCTTCTAATGAAAAAAGCAAATTAAAACATTGTCTTGCATTTAAGTACCAAGAAAAGAATGTAGAAGGCGGGGTTTATCCTACTTTTTAAAGAAACAATTGAAACATAGTAGGCTCAATCATAAAAATAAAATTATAGAATGCCCGATTATGTTAAATGCATACACGTAATAGTGTACCAAGAGGTATCAATGGGCACAATTCTGCTCTAGTTTTGAAGCATGCTTCCATAGCACCCACAGATACTAGATGGGGCCACTCATGATAATATGTAGTGAATTCGTGTATTTATTGTAGTTGCATCCTATTATCTGATCAAATACTGCATTGAGCTATCTTTTCACAGTCTTGCCTTCAACAACCATACTTGGTAAACCGTGAATTCAAACTCATTAATAGTCTTACCTTTAGCAAGGATGTTATTATGTGTTGGTGCATTAACATTGATGTCAAATTGATAGTTCAGATTCAGTTTATTTGAACATTGTTGTTTTCTGATAAAATCTTTCATAAGTGGTTACTTACTTGGTCTTGATGGATATATGAGAGTTGATTTCCTAATTAATCCCAAAATAAAATAACATAAATGCCAATTTTACTTTTTTTGGAAAGGTTATTCATTTCTATAACAAGTTGATTTTTCTTTAGTATATGTGTGTATTGATGCTTAAGGTATTACATCTCATTAAACAATGAACTATACTCATAGGGCACATGCTCCTCAAGCCTGAAGTGATATGTGAGCCAGAAATTACCATAACTGCAAGGTCGGAGGATGATGATTTCATGATCCTTGCAAGCGATGGATTGTGGGATGTGATGTCAAACACGGTGGCCTGCAGAGAAACCTTGAAATGCTTAGAAGATAAGAGCACCAATGCTGGCACAATGGTAGGCCACGAAGAAGAGGTTCGGTGTATATGCGCTACGTTCCACCTCACGGATCTCGCCTTCCGTATGCATAGCCGAGATGACATATGTGTGGTTGTGATTGATCTAAAGATCAGGGGTTAGCTACAAAGATCAGATCACCATCTCTACAAGTTACAAATTTGACCTGATAGGAATTCAGCTCTATGCAATCATGGCAAAGCAAAAGCTCTGTTGATTGGGATCTTAGCTCTCTAGCTAGTTGGTTGGTTTTATTCAATAAAAAGAGTCTGCAGAATAACTGGTAATATGGATGGATAAAGAATTTCCATGGATAGAAAATAGTGTGGTTGTGTGGAATAAAAAGATATTTGTAAATCAATGCAAGGATGATTGGATATGAAGTTGAATTTTATGTTTCCTGCATACTGTCCCTGTTATTTTTCTTAAGCTAGCATTGTGATTTGCACTCTAAATTGTTATTAGGGCAAGGCAAGTATTGGGTGCCATTGCTCCCACAAATTTAGTGTTTGCATATTTTTGAGACTTGAGGGGTGCACGGTAGGATGATGCGAAGCTAGTCCTCGTCCTCGTCCTCGGAGACAAGGTCAATCACCTCTCGACATCCGCTGGAGGGGCCTACCTCACCATCAGTGCGGGTTGCCAGCTGCACCTCATCCCCGTCGTCGTACATAAAGTAGCCCTGCCCATCGAGCTTGTCAAAAAGTTGGTTGACCTCCGCGGTTATTCTAGCATCCATGTCAGTGTCCTTGTTCCTCCTCTGGTCCTTCTCCTTATTGGCCCAAAAATCACGCTCCGCTACAACAAGGTGTGGATTGGCCTCAACATACCTAGCCATGTACTCCTTATTCATCTTGGCCAGGCGGCATGCCTTCACCTCCTTACGAGAATAAATCCGTTAAGGAGGGGCAAGGACACATGTTTGGCATCCTCGGGGAAGTCTAGGTCAGTCAGTTTCCACCCATACATGGAAGTCACCGCATCATACGCATGAACGATGAGCTCAGGGGTATCAAACGTGCCAAGGAACAGCCAATCACCATCACAGGTGATCCCCCAGAGTCGAATACCACAAAGCCCGATCGCAGGAGGGCGGCAAGGGGCCATCCTCCTGCACGAGTGTCATGCGAGAACGGTATCTGTATCAAACTTAATTTTGCAAAGTTGAAAACTAAATGAAGAATACACAACAACTCTTCATGTGGGTTAACTTTCAGTCAGTTGATGCTCCCTTCAACAACTCTCACCTCTCAAGTGGTGGTAGATATGTATGGTGTGGCACTCCTTGCCTGTTTATTTTGACTGTCGGTAAGGGTCGTTACTCCCATCCCTTCTTGCGTTACCAAGGTCTCACAGAAAAGAGATGAGAAGCAAGGACCACCTACGACAATAGCAGGTATCTTTCCTCTCATAACATCTCTCATCTCTCAATGTTATTTTGACCGTCAGTGATGGTCGGTCCTTTCATTCTCCGCTACTTTACCGAGGTCTCAGAGGAGGAGGACGAGAAGGAAAGACCACCTACGAACATCCGGTATCCTTTCTCCAAGAGCATCTCATCTCTCACTCTCATCTCTTTCAAAAGGAAGCATCATTGGAATGAAATTCAACACACTACATAGCTAATAGCGATGCATATCCAAAACAAGTACAAGTTAGACGCATTTACTAAGTACAACCATTTAAACTACATAATCTAGAAAGTTACCTAAGGCAATATCTATGAGCATAAGAGAGCAAGCAAATTGCAACGTGTCGATAGACCTTATCCTGCTACCCGATTCAGACCATGTGTAATCAACATACTAAAAACAGCAACAACACAACATCAACAAAGCAACACAGTTCAGTTTTAGAAGTATGCAGAAGATGCACGGATATCGTAATAGTAAAAACTCTTACTAGGGCATCTCCACGGAAGTTATCGTGGTTCAACATGTGCACTAGTGGCACGTATTGACCATAATGTGGAGGAGTTCGATAATAGGCATTGTAATTCTCAATTTCAGTACAATATGCGACAAGATGATTTTTCTCCTGATAAGTTAACTCAGAGCCATCGGTGTAGTAGGTTCTGTCTACCATCTTCCACACATTCTTTGAAGAATGAAAATAAGCTATCAATGGAAATAAGCTGTCAACTATTTTGATATAAACAATATAAATTAAATAACTATGTTTGAGAAACTCACATAGCGGTAGAATTGGAAGCATATCAACAAGGACCCAAATGTCCAAATTGTCTTGGTTGATGTCAGGATCACCAAGATCCATGGTGACAAACATACTATAGGTGTCAAAACCGGCGGATCTCGGGTAGGGGGTCCCGAACTGTGCGTCTAAGGCTAATGATAACAGGAGGCGGGGGACACGATGTTTACCCAGGTTCGGGCCCTCTCGATGGAGGTAATACCCTACTTCCTGCTTGATTGATCTTGATGATATGAGTATTACAAGAGTTGATCTACCATGAGATCGTAGAGGCTAAACCCTAGAAGCTAGCCTATGACATGATTGTTGTTCTGATCTATCGACTAGCCTGGCCTCGGTTTATATAATGCACCAGAGGCCTAGGATAACAAGAGTCCTAGCCAAATACGCCAGTGGGGAGGAGTCCTTGTCTTGATCACCAAGTCTTGTGGAATCTTCCTTGTATGCGGCAGCTGTCCGAACTGGCCCATGAGTATACGGCCACAGGGAGACGACGTGGTGAGGACCCCCTAGTCCAAGACATCGTCACATACCCTCTTGAAAATCATACATCTTGCAAAGTGCTTCCCAACCCGGGCAACCAAAATGGGATACACTCTCAGAATTGTATAGATTTACCTCAAAATCCATACCATGATGGGTCCTTAGGTTAATTTTCTTTGTTTCATTCCTCTCATGATCTTCAAAACCCATCCTCTCCAAGACATAGGGTCTTACATGGCATGGGATAAGCTAGTCGAATTGTGAAATACGAAAATTACACGTTGAAGTAGTAGAAGTCGAGCTTAATTACAAAAAAAAAACTTTGCGTCGTAGCTTACCGTATCACAATCGAAGGCGTCCTCGAGCTTAATGCTGAAGCGCCGACCTTCGTCCAGGTGAGGCATGTCGTAGAAACCCCGGTTGTCGCTGCACCAGGAGCATTCCCCGGGACCTTCTTCGTCCGACGACATTTCCTATGTTCATAATTCAAAGATTAAACTTGTACAATTAAATATATGTACTACAAAAACTAAATTAGATCATTATTATTCATCACGGGTTGACTATCGGTCTGTCAAGTCTTTTCTCGAAAGCTCTCAGCTCATGTGGTGTATATATTCGACCGTCGATGATGGTAGCTCTTCCTTTCGTTCCCGAGTGCATTACACCAAATGTCTAGCACACGCGAACGAAGGAGAAGCTACCTCCACGACAACATTCGGGATTCTTCGTCCTCTCATATATGGTGGAGACTCTCCCTCACTGATTCCTCTCTGACATTTGCGACCGTCAGTGATGGTCGTTCCTCCTCCTTCCCCTAGTGCATAACAAAGGTCTAGCACCCGAAGAAGAAGGAGAAACGACCCCCATGACAACAGTCGGGATTCTTCGGCCTCGACGGACTTAAAGTGAACCCGAAATATCGTTTAATTATCTTTCTAGAAAATCCAGGCCACTCGATATTTCCTACATATTCTAGCACTAGTCATGCCAAAATTCACGGAAAAATTCCGGCATGACCTTTGCTAAAACAGGACATATCGAGCGCCTGAAATTTGCCGGAACAGAAGTTAATCAACACTCCGGTAAAACATTGGCCACTCGGAGGTGTAACCTACAAACATGACCGGCCACTTGGGCAACCACATATCCTATTTAAGCAACACAAGATATACATGTTTTTATCTACATCATATCTTATAGGACTCATATTGACATGGAGATTTGGCTGGTCTCACCTCGAGGTCGGAGGGGGTCGTTGATGGGGACGACGGCGGGGATGATGGAGGGGCTCCTTCATTTCTGCAAAAACAAAAACCCTATAAGTTATCACTAATACATCCCGAATAGTATCATACATATAACATCACTAATACAATTAAAACCCTATAAGTAAAAATAAACTAGTTGTTTCTAAAAATAAACTAGTTCAACTAGTTATATTAATTTTCTTACTAAAAATAAACTAGTTCAACTAGTTTTATTAATTTACTTACTAATTATTTTAAACACTTACTAAAAACAGTAAAAAAAACTACATTATACAATAGTAAAAAGCTACAGTAAAAATGGAAAAAATAGATGGAGGGACGAGGGGAAGGGAGGAGGAAGGAGAGAGGAGGA